TGATGGATTACATCAACTGATTTTTGAATGTTGAATCAGCTTTGAATATCTGAAATAAATTGTACTTGGTCATGGTGTATAAGTCTTTTTACGCTTTATTGTATTTAATTTCCTAATATCTTGTTGAAGATTTTTGCATGTATTTTTCTGAGAGATATTAGTCTATAATTTGTATTTCTTGTAGTGTCTTTCTCTGGTTTTGGTATTAGGGTAAATCATTTGTACTATTTTCAAGAAATTGGTCCATTTGATCTAAGTTATCAAATTTGTGGGCACAAAGTTATTAATAATATTCCTTTATTATTATTTTTATGTCCATATAGTCAGTAGTAATGGCTTCTCTTTTATTTCAATATTAGTAATCTTTTCTTGATTAGCCTGCCCATGTGTGCATCAGTTTTATTGATCTTTTAAAGGAACCAACTTTTGATTTCTTTGATTTACTCTATTAATTTCCTGTTTTCAGTTTCATGGATTTCTGCTCTTATTTTTCTTTTCTTCTGTGTATGTAGTTTGGATGTTTGTTCTCTCCAAATTTCATGTTGAAGCGTGATCTCTAAATGTTGGAGATGGGGTCTAGTAGGAGGTGTTTAGATCGTGGAAGCAGATCTCATGAATGGCTTGATGATCTCCCCAGGATAATGGGTTGACATGGGATCTGGTTATTAAAAGGTATCTGGGGCCAGACTTGTGGCTTACGCCTGTAATCCCAGCGTTTGGGAGGCCTAAGAGGACAGATCACTTGAGCCCAGGAGTTCGAGACCAGCCAGGCCAGCATAGCAAAACCCCATCTCTACTAAAAATACAAAAATGCGCAGGGCATGATGACACACACCTGTAATCCCAGTTACTTAGGAGACTGAGGCATGAGAATTGCCTGAACCTGGGAGGCAGAGGTTGTAGTTGGCAGAGTACCACTGCATTCCAGCCTGGGCAATGGAGTGAGACTTTGTCTCCAAAAAAAAAAAAAAAAAAGGTACCTGAGACCTCTTTTCTCTCTCCCTTGCTCACTGTTTTGGTATGTGACACACCTCCTCCCCATTTGCCTTCCACCATCAATAAAAGCTTCCCAAGGCCTTCCCCAGGAGCAGATGCTGGCACAATGCTTCTTGTACAGCTGGTAAAACCATGAGCGAAATAAACCTCTTTTTTAAAATAAATTACACAGTCTCAGGTATTCTTTTATAGCAACACAAAACACACTAATACATCCGCTTTTTTTGTGGGGGGGGATTTAATATGTTCTTTTTTTCCCTAGTTTCTTAAGGTAGAAGCTTAGGTTATTTTTGTTTGTTTGTTTGTTTGTTTGTTTGGAGACAGAGTTTCGCTCTTGTTGCCCAGGCTGGAGTGCAATGGCAGGATCTCGGCTCACTGCACCCTCCACCTCCCAGGTTCAACTGATTCTTCTGCTTCAGTCTCCTGAGTAGCTGGGATTACAGGTGCCTGCCACCACGCCCAGCTAATTTTTTATATTTTTAGTGGAGACAGGGTTTCACTATGTTGACCAGGCTGGTCTCAAACTCCTGACCTCAGGCGATCCACCTGCCTTGGCCACCCAAAGTGCTGGGATTACAGGCGTGAGCCACCACTCCCAGCCAGGTTATTGATTTTAGATATTCCTTCTTTTCTAATATGTGCACTCAGTGCTACGAATTTCTTGTAAGTACTGCTTTAACTACATGCCACAAATTTTGGTAAATTATATTTTAACGTTTATGTCTTTCAAAAATATTCTAAATTTTTTTTGTGATTTCTTCTTTGACCTATGTGTAATTTAGAAGTATGTTGTTAAATTTCTAAATGTTTTGGGACTTTCCAACTATCTTTCTGTTAATGTATTTCTAGTTCAACTCCACTGTGGTCTGAGAGTGTACTTTGTATGATTTTTGCTCTTTTAAGTGTGTTCAGATGTGTTTTAATAGGGCATATGTAGTCCATCTTAGTGAATGTTGCATGTGAGCTTGTAAAGAATGTGTAATGTCTACCGATCTTTGACAAACCTGACAAAAACAAGAAATGGGGAAAGGAGTCCCTATTTAATAAATGATGCTGGGAAAACTGGCTA